GCGCTGGGAGCACCGTGCCTGCCCCGCCTGCCTTCAGGCTCTTATGGGAGTTAGGCCAGATGCTCCTAGGTGACCAGAAAGCCAAACAAAACAGGGAACTAGACAAGGCTGGTACATGCAGGAGACGGAACACCAAGCAGCGGTTTCTCCCCACCCTCTGACCTTCACGGAGCTGCAGGTTTAGAGAGAAAAGTAAATGTCAGAGGATTAACAGTTTCATCTATGGCTGAAAACAATTCAAAGCCTTGAGCTGAACGGCCTCAAAGTCAGCGCTGCGGTCCTTCGAAGCCGTGGTCTCTGTGCCGGCCGCAAGCCCCGGGCTGCAGGCAAGGCAATACACAATACCCGTTTGGGAAGGCCGGGCCTCCAGAATGAGGACGTCCAGGTTGAGCGTGGATGCCGCGCAGGAGGCGCACAAGCAGGGCGCGCAACTCCTGCCCCCGCCCTGCCCTCCGACAGGCTGGCCGTCTGGTGAGGGGCTCAAGCTGCCTCCCGTGGGCTCTGTTCACGGGCCCGCCCCTGCAGCATTGGCTACTGCCTTCTGAACAGGAGGGAGAAGCTGAGAAGTCAAAGTCCTTCCCACACGCGCCTGGGTGGGAAGCACGGCCGCCCTGCCGCTGGGGCTGTGCTCCACCGAGTCCGCACTCACGCCTGCCCTGTTCCCTGCGCCCTCGACACACTACCTCTCACTGGCTCCGTACTTAAATCAGACTGACGCCGGCCAGGACCTCCTTCTTCCTCTCAGTATTCGCTATGGGACGCAGGGACAGAGGAGATGCCTAATGAGATGCGCTTTAAAGAGAAGTTCACACACGCAGTTCTTGAACGCTGCACAGTGAACACCTGGCCGGGGGTCCCGCAGTCAGGCCACCCATACACCATCCTAGGCTTCTCTCTCCTCCACGATCTCGCTTCCCTATCTGCCTGTGTCTTCTCCCCCATGGTTCATTCTGGTATTTGTTTTAGGTCTAGCCTTTAAATTTTTTCCAGTGTGTCACAAGGGACCTCCCTAGGGGCACGTCTTGCCCCGGGAAGTCCGTGGTATGATTTTAAAACCTTTTGTTTATGTGCAGGTGATGCGTTCCAGTTACAAGCTGCACAGCAGCCCTGGGAGAAGGTCTGCTGTTCCTCAGGGTCATTGAGGCCTCTGAGGAAGAGACGGGCAGTCAGGACTTGCTCTCTCAGTCCCACTTACCTGCAAAAGTTTCAGGCCCAACAGTATGATGCTGGTCAAGGGAAATAGTATTGTTTCTAGAGTGTCGTGAGGACAGTGCATTTTACTGGCTTTCTCTCAATCCCAGCAGCAACAAGACTAAAAGCAAAAATGAACCCAGACTTAAAAAGCTGAGATTGTGTGACTAGGAGGTGAGAGGAACTGTCTGGACCTTCTCTTCGGAGCATAACTTTCCTAAAAGTCATGAATGAAACCTTCCTCTGCTGTTCACAGTGACTCACATAATATATTTAATAAACTTCAAATACCATGACGGTGAAAGTAAGCAGGATGATCATTCCTTACAATGTGAACCATCTTCTTAGAAATCGGATGCTCTTAGAAATAGATGTTCTTTCATCCCTAAAAGTAAAAAGGCAGTACTGAAGCTTACAGTCCGACTACGTTATCCAATAAATCTTTAAAAGATGGGATTTGATGTCACATAAGCATCTTCAATTTAGAGATGGAGGCACACGACCTCAGATGGAAGCTGGGCAGAAGTAGAAATATGACGCAACTCCTTCTCGATGACAATTTCTGTCTCTCCTGGGTCCTCCTTCTGGATCACACAGACTGAAAACGCTTCTGCCCTCGTTGAAGCGAGATCTCCTGGCAGATGTGACACATGGATGCTAGAATGAGAATCTTCCAATATGCAGCTCTTGAGGGTTCAGGAGCCCAAGAAGATATGAGCAGCAGTGAGGCCTCGGCTCTGGACCAAGTCTCCCTGGGATGCTGAGTCCTTCTCGCATATAAGGTATACTGAGTGTCACGGGCCCAGGTCTCCCAAAATCTGAGATAACATCTTAGCTCCAAAATCGCATCAGCATGAAAACAAAACGCTGCAGTCTACTTGAGATCGTTTTTTCTCTAATTAAAATTTTTATTGAAATCTCAAATGTTACCAAGAAATAGTTTTTGCAAAAGGGGGAAGAAAGAGCTAACAAGCAAATTCAACATGGGAGCTCCCTCTGCTGGTCTGCAGTAGGTTGATATGTTACAAACACATTCCCAGAGACAAATCTAATTTGCTGGAGAAGTGGACAAAAGACAGGTGTGTTGGGCTTTGCCTCAGGAGAGAAACACTAGAAGAAAAAAAAAATCCACGTCTCAAAACAGAGCACAACATCACTAAGAAAAGCAAAATTATTTAAAAGCTGATCTCCAAAGACATAATACGATTTCCAAAACAAAAATGGAATTAGCCACTAAGAGGACGCTCCATTTTGGTCTCCCCTCTGCTCTACCTCCAGTTAATAAAAATTCTCTCAGGCCCTCTGGGTGAAGGTTAAGTTCTGATTCCCTCGTCTCTGTCTCCAAGTCTCTTCTTACAGGCTTCCCATCTAGTTACAGGAGAAAGATCCAAGGAGTCACTGGAGCAAGGCCTTTCCAAAATTCCATCAAAGAATTAGTCTTTGGTGAGCCAGCACTGAGGTGTGGAAAGAGCTGGGAGTCAGGTGAGCTGGCTCTGGTCATGGCAGAGCCACTTGCGACTCTGGACAACTCTCTCCTCTTCTCCAGTCTGTTTCCTCATCTGTAAAATGGGTCAGACCAGCTGATCTGTCAAGCCTCTCCCAGTTCATTCTACGATTCTCACACTGGACAAAGACATTTAAATGACCATATTTGTTCATCAGTCTTTAGGATACAGAACCCAAGCTTGCACTGGGAATGACCCCAAATAAGAAGAGGGGTTGAGCACAAGGATCTCACTGGTATCAGAAGAGAGTCCCACCAACTGTAGGACTGATGTGGCAGGACCAGGTGGATTCCTGGCTGGGAGAGCCTCAAGGTCAAGGAAGAGCTCACGGGGAAGGTGCCACCATGGGTGATACATCCCAGTTAAATAAGCATAACGGTTGAGTCCATGTAATCTTGGCACTGTCTCTCCTCATCCTTTCTCACAATGGCCTGGGCTTTCTGATCTCTTAAGACTTTTTACCCTCCTTCTCCCACCGTATTCCCCAGAATGACTTTTGATTTCATCCGTTATATGAATGAAGCAAGGGCAAATTACCCAGACATCACGGCCAAAAGCCGCCATTCGCAGTCCTTTCTGGCCACTGTCAACTCCTGCTTTTCCAGGACAGTGGTGAAAGGCTTTGGTACTGATTAACCAAAGCCATGGATATTTAGAAGACTAGGCAAACTTGGCACCATTTCATGGTATTATTAACATTTGCCTCCGTTGTCAATTGGTCTGTATCTAGGCAGCACAGGAAGAGGTGGGTCACATATCCCCAGATGGCAGGGGTGGGCCACAAACACAGGGGACTTTCTGAGTTGCTCCATGGCATCTACAAAATCATCTAAGGTCACTACGAGTATTCTGATAACTCAGCAGAAGGTATCAGCCCGTTTCCTTTCCCTCTGCCCTCCCCCGCTACCTGCCGTTGCAAGGGTGACCAAGCACTGACACAGACAAAGGTGGAAAATGCAACAGGGAAGGAAAAGCAGAAAGCACAGCGAATCCAGAAACTGGGTCATCAGTCTCGGAAGAACCCCCGTTACTTTGTTTTCGGTGCCAAATACTCTCCCCACCACCACCTTTCTCCTCACTACTTGTACTACTTTCTACCCCCTTCTTCCAACACAAAGGGTGAGCACTTCCGAGGCCCAGGCACCGAGGCCTTCTCTTTGTAGTTTGCCTGCACGGTCCCTGGGAAGCTGGGCTGTCCGTGCACATACGAAGCATCAACAACTCAGCTGAGAGAGAATGGAAGGAGGTCCAGCTAAGAACACTCCCGACCCCATGGCCTGCCTGGGAGACCCTTGCTGGGGCCGCTTATAGGTGTCTTGCACAACACAGTAAGTTGTGGACAACGTAAGACTTTTAATTATTTCACCCAGCCTGGTACACAAGCACTAAGCAAAACAAACAAAAACCCCACCTGTCCAGGCTGGCAGCTTTTTAAAAACAGGCTTTCCTGCTTTTAGAGGAGTTACACATGCAGTACGACAGACGAGAGCTATATGCTTTCTATCTTATTTGTTATTATTGATCATCACGCTGAATCCCAACCTTGATGACTACTACTGGTACTAAAAGCAAAGCTAAGAGAAACATCGTTTCCAAGGGAAGAGAAAGGGTTGGTAGGTAGACAGTAATCTTTGTGAAGAAACAGCGGAGTTTGTTTGTAAAGCCCAGGCTATTTTAACTAAGAAAGCAAGCTGGTCAGAAGAGATACCTCTACCTTGACCTATAATTACATTTAAGACACTATACTGTACCTCCTTTTCTACAGGGTCTCTTAAAAATGGAAAAAAGGAACCCTTAATCTCTTCTTTAACGTATGTATCATAGCACATGACCTTCCTCCTGGAAGCTCCCAGCTCGCTCCTTCGTCCCTAGAGCTCCCAGAACACAAGAGAAGAGACCTCAGCACACAGGAGCACACGCAGATAGGTAGCTCTTGTAACAAGCGCACGCCTTCCTCTGCAGCCCTTCCCCACAGCAAGGCACACACATCTCTGCTCCCGTGACACCCTCTAGCTGGCTGGGGAGGTGACCTGGGCCCAGTCTCTCGTGTGTGATATGAGGGTGAGATCATTAAGGAAGAGAGAGGTGTTGTTTGGGGCAAACATCAGGCAGTGGGTGATATCATTGCTGTCAGACGGTCCTCGGAAGTCCTGGAGGAGTGTCAGCTTGATTCAGAGGGGATCAGTAATCTCTTGAAGGCGGATCTGTTAGCTGGATAGGGGTTAGTTGTATGGTGTGCCCTGGGGAACCAGGTTTGAAAGGGCTGCTGGTGGAGTGAAGTCGTGGCCGATGGGTATGAATTACCTGGGCATGCAGTGAGGCGGGGTAGGTGAAAGCAGGAGGTAGAGCAGGCGCTAGCTCCGCTGGGTACAGAGGGTACGGGGCCCACACTTCAGGGCTACTGGGGTAAAGTGCAGGCACTGTGAGCTCATCTGCAAGAAAAGAATAAGGGAAGAGTTAGTGGTTACCAAACAGCTGGCTGCAAATCAGAAACAAAACACCCAGTGTAGCCCCGAGCCCCAATCAATGTCAGAAGTCAAGTCGCTCTCATTCTCTCAATAACCTGTTGGCTTCGGTCCCCCCAGACACTAAGCAAGAGAATGGTAAATACAAAATGGACAAAAAAAAGCAAGAAATCTGCTTCCTGTCTGGCCTGCTGAGATCTCAGGCCCGGGCTCCACCCTGGACACTCTGATGTCTTTCCAACTGTAGCTCGGGGGAACCCACGAACAGTGGGGACTTCCTGCACCAAACAGCAAACGGGGTCCTCCGAGGAAAAGAGGAAGAAAGAACTAGGAGGCGATCTCCCGTGAAGACTCACTGCAGAGCCTTTGGGAGAACGGCGACAGACCGGGAGGACGGGAGGACTTGCCTGTGAATCGGCATAATTACTACCGACAAGCATCAGGATCAGCAAACGTTTTCTGTTTAGAAGCACAAGGCCAGACACTGTGCCTACAGGGCACGTAAGGTGCTAAAAGTTCAGAGAATGGAAGTGCAAAGCCTGGGGTATGCCGGTTAAAGTTAAGCCCCACAAAAATCCAAATAAGGACGTTCACAATTGCTGTTTACACAGATTTTATTTTCTAGGGGAAAAAAGATGAGTCATGTTGCCAACTGACTGGTCTAAAGGGACCTCGTGGACCTCCGATTCCACTCAGGTCACGCTGCAGTTTGCCGGGTTGAAGGGCAAGTGCCGGGCCTCAGCATGGATCAGGAAGCAACCCATTAAAGTAACAGCAAACACACAAGGGAGCGTCTCAGCAAAGGCAAAAATAACCTCAGTCAATAGTTCTGAATCTGGAACCCGTAAAGCAGCCATCTCAATACGTGCTTTTATCACCTGTCAAAGTCTGACATCAAGTAGGCCCGGGATGCCCCCCAGGGCCACCGAGGAAGTCAGGAAAAGGTGACCCGGTGAAGCCATCAGTGCCTGTGCCATTCAGGACGTCCCACAAGGGTACAGTGCACGCGACCCAAGGTCAAGAGAGTCCCTTCACTCCCTCCCACCATCTAAAGCCAGCGCAGGCCTGCATTGTAGGTCTCCCCCCATCTCCCCCAATTCTGACCCCGGGCAGGGTTTTCAGCGTGGGAAGGGGGTTAGACACAGAAAACCGCTTTGCTGAGTGTGACGTGGGGACTGCTCTACAGAACCAGCGGAAGGCAGCTGAGGCCGTGTGCGCGTCTGCGCCAGCGGACAGGGCGTGCGCACGGCTCCTGTGCTCAAGAGCTTCCAACAGGCTGAGAGACGGTCCAGAGCTGACCAATCAGGACGCGTCAGGGGGCAGCCGGGGATGCCCACAAGGTGGGGTTATACATGTGGCCGCCCCGACTCCCTCTCTCAACAAGGCAGTTGAAACGACCTCCTCAAGACTTGGTGATGGGAACACAGATGGCCTGTCTATCTAGGCTGGGAAGCCTAGGCCAAAAGAGCAGACTAATAGTAATTATCTGGAGAGGAGAATACAAACACCATAGCCCTCTTTAAAGTGATCAGGTCTATACCACCTACTTCCAGTTCTAGGGTGTGTAGGTGTCTGCAGTTTCTGTAAGGAAATTCCTGACAGAGGGGTTAAGAGAACGCTTCACAGACCCCCGTGTTTCCTGTCGTGATGAGATCACACGATGTCCAGTAGGGCAACAACTCCTGTGAGAGCCCAGCTCGTGGAAACCAAATACCCCCAGAACCAATGCCTCAGATTTTATTTTAAACAAACAACCATTCTCAGGAATGGCAAGCTATTACTGTTGCTGTTATTGTTATTTCAGCTACCATGCTATTTTAAGACACTGAGTCTTTTTTTTTTTAAAGGCAAGAGTCTCAAGACCCAGCACACACTAATTTCTCAGCCCACGCTTGTCCAGCCCCACTGTGACGGCAGAAGTCTATCAACCAGCATCAGAGGGGCTGTGCCTGGCCTGCAGCCTGACGGGCTAAAGGTGAGGCTGGCTGCAGGGCACCCTGGGGCTTCCTTTAGAAAGGTTTTCAAATGTGTGTCTTTTAAGATATCTGATCCTAAAGAGACAGTCTGGGTTTCAATCACAGCCTGATGGAATTTACGATTTCCATACATTTCCACATTTTATCCTAAAGCATGACTTCACACTGGGCCTATACAAATGCTTGGAGACAACTCACTGATTGATATTTGCATAAAACCTAGCCCAGCTGAACGAGGTGGGAGGGCGGGCGGGGGGGGGGGGGGGGGGGGGGGGGAAGCCTGCTTCCAAATCCTCTAAACCCAAAGTTGCAGAGTAATAAATAGTATATAGTCAGGTAGTGAAGCAGAGGCCTAAAAGAGACTAGGGGAAATGCACACGGGATAAATCCCTTCTTCCATCATCTCCTCTCAGGATGGGTCTGGAGTTACGGTCCGGAGGAGGATGCACTCAAAATATGTCAGCGGTGATGCTCTGTGTCGCTGAGAACGGGGAGAGGACGGCAGGGAGGGGGTTACCGACGACACATGCTGCGGGCAGGAGCCAGGTCTCACTCAAGTCTGCACCCCTGGGCCAGCTCTGACCCTGGCATTTAGCCTGCAGTGATGCTTGTTGTACTGAATAGTCCCCGACAGAAAATTCTACAAGTTGTTTAAAGATACACCACTGTTTTCTTTGTTAAAGGAACTGAGGGAATATCCATAGGAACTAGATCTAAAATTTCTCAATCCTTGCAATATTTATCCTATCCACCAAAAAAAAAAAAAATGGAGCAAAGGCAGAGGCTCAAACAAGAGCAAGTGCTTTTGAGCAAGAATCTTCAAAGTGAAAAATAAAAGCGATGGAACCTTTCTTCAAACGTGTTTCCCAGAAACTCTTGTTTACTAAGAGTGCAGCAGTTTGGGTTGACTTGCTGGTGGTCGTGGGGACGGCTGGAGGACCTCCACCCCTGTTGAGTCCCCAGAAAGTACACCAGGGTTCCGGAGAAAACAGATTGAAAACCGCTCCTGCAGCTGCTCTCACCCAGGGACCGGTTTTTAAAGTAAGCTCCTCTTCAAAATCTCCGAAGTCTGAATTCATTCCTGTAGCTCCTGGAAGCCCAGCTGAGAGAGGACGGGCAGGTGGGCAATGAGTAACCAGAGCGGGGTGGGGAAGAAAGAAGGAACAAGGAAACACCTGGGAGAGGGAACGAAACAGGCTCTCTTGACGAACTTCAGTGGCCAAGGTACCCTGAGCCCCTGGAGGGCCCAGGGGGAGCCTGAGAGAGCTTTAATGGCCTCGCAAACTGAGGTGTTGATAAATCTGACCCAAGCAGTACAGCGGGTAAAATAACAGGAAGAAAGGTAAACAAGCCAGGTGGAGCTATTCACTCCCTCCCCCATGTCCCCAAGCCATAGCTTCCCATCAGCACTGCAGCTCCCGCAGGTGGCTCCCTGGACCAGCAGAAACAGCAGCAGGGGGCAAGGGGGGGGGAATGCAAATTCTCGGCTCACCCCAGACCTACTAAACCAGAAATTCTGCCCTCCAGGTGACTCCGACACACGCCTAAGTATGAGAGCCACTGCTATCTTCCTACTTGTCTTTCTTATTCTATTATGAGCTGCTTGAGTAAAGTGTTAGGCATTTTGCTTTCAAAGTGCCCAGGATAGCACCTGTTACACAGTATCTGTTGAATAAATGAATGAAACACTCCCGGAGAGAAAATGCAAATGACAGCGATAATCCTGGACTTGTTTTGGGAGTGAAACTGGAGGGTCAAAGCAGACCCAGCCTGACATCCCTTGCTTGGCTCAGGGCCACCCACGAGTGACAGAACCACACAGGCACAGCAGAGGCAGCCGGCCCCGGTCAGAATCACACCGGTGGGAGAGCAGCCCTCATGGACGCCTGCATTTCACCATGAGGCTGCAGACTCCCCGAAATGGCACACACTCTCCTTTGATGGAAGAGGGCAGTGAGCTGCATAAGCTTTGTGCATCTGTATGCTCTTTTTTGTTGCTAATGTGGTCTTGAGAAAATTACAGCAGCTAGAGACAGGTTTTCCACAGCACAAGCGCTTTGTACGACTCCCGGGTGGAAGGAGAGGCGCCAGCACCGCTCAGGTGGGCTTCACCTTCTGGAGTCACTGCGCAGCCTGCTCTGACTTAATAGGACGGGAAGGCTGAAAAAAGAAGAGAAAGTTTGCCGCCCTAGGCCCATTGGGATGAACTGGAGTCGGGGAGGGGGTTATGGTCCCCTAACAAAAGAGGCTCTTGACCACCCAGAGTGAGCCAGGCCCCAGTGAGCAGAAAGAGATCAGAAGCCCAGGGCTTTTGTCTGGGCCTCATCTGACCCTCCTGAGAGGCTGGGTCAATCCTTTCCCTTGGCGCCAGATCTGGCTACATCCTTTCCTCCTTTTGCACCTCTGAGGATAACGTTGTTGAGGGCTCACAATATACATCTGAATAGGCCTTCTTCTTAGCATAAGAGTATGCAACCGGGAGAGTTCAAACTGAATTCTAACCAACAAAGACTAGAAACGTCCCCAATTCCAACCTCCAATCCCTTTGAAAAGAAAGAACTGCAAAGTCTGATGAATGTTTAAACCAAAAGAGCTCATGAAGATCACCTAGTCTGCCTTTTCATGTGGATGAGGAAACAAGGATGCAGACAGGCGAAGCTTCCAGTCTAAGGTCACATTGAAACGGATAAAGGTGAATGACTCTTAGGAACAACTGAGATAAAGAGGAACAAGGAGAATCTTTAATGGAGCAACGTTAGGATAGTTGCGAACACATGGTCCAAGAACTTTTAAGTCAGTATTTACTTTGTCTCTTGGATATTTCTATTTGGAAATATTCCACAGCAATCTCATGCTCAACATGTCCGAAACGAAACACACTCCCTCCAATGGCCTGTCTTCCTTGGTTCCAGATTTCAGTAAAAGATGCTGCTTAGTTGCCCAAGCCAGGGTGACCTGGAAGTCACCCCACCTTCCCTCACATTCAATCTC